GGCCCCGGCCCCGGCTCCGGCTCCGCTCCCGGTCCCGGCCGACACGCACTTCCGTACGTTCCGCTCGCACGCCGAGTACCGGCTCATCACGCGCGCCAGCGCGCTCCTCGACGCCTGCGGCTTTTACTGGGGACCCCTGAGCGTGCACGGGGCGCACGAGCGGCTGCGCGGCGAACCCGTGGGCACCTTTCTGGTGCGCGACAGCCGCCAACGGAACTGCTTCTTCGCCCTCAGCGTGAAGATGGCCTCGGGCCCCACGAGCATCCGAGTACACTTCCAGGCCGGCCGCTTCCACCTGGACGGCAGCCGCGAGAGCTTCGACTGCCTCTTCGAGCTGCTGGAGCACTACGTGGCGGCGCCGCGCCGCATGCTGGGGGCCCCGCTGCGCCAGCGCCGTGTGCGGCCGCTGCAGGAGCTGTGCCGTCAGCGCATCGTGGCCACCGTGGGCCGCGAGAACCTGGCGCGCATCCCCCTCAACCCCGTTCTCCGCGACTACCTGAGCTCCTTCCCCTTCCAGATCTGACCGGCCGCGCCCGCGAAGCAAGCAGCATTAACTGGGGCGCCTTATTATTTTTCTATTATTAATTATTATTATTTGCCTGGAACCACATGGGTGCCCTCCCCACTGGGCTGGAGGGAGCGGGTGTTGGAGGCGAGGCGCCACCCGCTCTCTGCTGGAGCCGAGGGTACAGCCCCCTCCCCACCTATTGGGGGGCGTGCCCCCTCCTGGTGCTCCCTCTGGGTCCCCCTGGTTGTTGTAGCAGCTTAACTGTATGTGGGGCCAGGACCTGAACTCGCTCCTCCTACCTCTTCATGTTTACATATCTTTGCACAAACCAGGGGGTGGGGAGGGTCTCTGGCTTGATTTTTCTGCTGTGCAGAATCCTATTTTATATTTTTTACAACCAGTTTAGGTAATAAACTTTATTATGAAAGTTTTTTTTTTTTTAAGGAAAAAAGGTTTCTAGAGCATGTGCTTTGGTCTCAGGTGTTCCTTGTTCTGGCAGGACTTGTGGGAGAGGGGTCCTAAGACTGACCTGCTGGGCTCGAGGTGGAGGTAGCTTGTGTTCTGTGGCTCTGAGCCTTGCTGGGTTCTGCCCACAACCCTGGGGGACAGGACGCTGGTCTCCTTTTGGTGCCTTGGTGGTGTGTGTCCGGTGAAGGAGTGGCTCATGTTGGAGCACTTATCATGCCAGGCCCTGTTCTGTGCTTTACATGCTTAAGTTTACTTAACCCCATGAGGCACTTTACAGAAGAGAACACCAAAGCACAGGTAAATTTGCCTGTAGTCACCCCTGTGTCAAAGAAGGCACTTGGGCTCTTTTGGCTGTCCACCAAGAATCTGTTTGAAATGGATGACAGAAAGGAAACGACTTTCCTTCTACAGCCCCAACAACTTCCAGGAAGAGGGTGGGGGCTTGATGAGTTTTTTGAAGGAGTGGCACATTCTGAAACTCCAGCATCAAAGGAGACATATTTCAGATGGGATGGGGATGCAGGGTTGGGTCTGACTTCCTTCTTCCCACCCTGTTCTGTCTTGTGTACTTTTTGGTGAACACAAAACTTGGAGTGAGAAAGAGGCTCTGTGGTCTGTGGTGGCAGGAGAGCGCTGCTGGCGGCTTTGGGCAATTCCCTTTGCCTCTCTGGGCCTCAGCTTCTACCTCAAAAACGGGCTGGCTGGAGGAGGTGGTGCATGGTAGAGGAGGTGATGTTCTCAGGAGCAGGGGAAGGCCGCTCCAAGATGCTGGAGGAGCTGGCTTAGAGCACCAGGAAGTGCCTGGGACACAGGCTGTACAGCGGCCAGCCTGACAGATGGCCATGCTGGGAACTGGGAGGCTGCACTGCCGCACACGGTGAATTGAGTCATTTTCAGGCTTGGGGTTAAGCAGCCTGGCGGACACTTCGCACTTCATTTTTAGAAGTTAAAATGGCCCTCTGCAGCCTTGGACACGCTTATAATGGAGTGTCCTAATATTTAATAACACCTTTCAGACTTGAAAGTGCAGCATAAAATTAACTTGATGGTGGAGAGCTGGAGCGCCAGGCTTGCCTTGGGGATTAAATAGGCTCCAGGCCTCAAGGTTAAGGATTTAAGAGATTTAGGATCTCAGAGAGCATCAGCCATTTCATCCTTTCATAAGGTGGAGCTGGAGGGAAGGAGGTGATCTCTTGTCTCTGTGCCTCCAAGGAGTTGCTGTTTTTTTCTTTTCTTTTTTTCAAACCATCCCCCTGCCCTTTGTTCTCTGCTGTTGTGGATGAATTAAATCCTGTCCTTGTTCCGACTTTCCCTGTCTCCTACCCCCTTGGGCAGTGCCCAGAGAAATCCAAGAAGGCAGTGTTTGGGATCTGGTTATAATAACAGTAACAATGACGCTAAGTGATTTGTGTGATTTCACAGATGGGAAAACAGAGGCTCAGAGAGGCAACGCAGGGCACATAGCAAGTGGTAGAGCCAGATTTTCAAACTCAGACATTACTGCTTCACAGCCCGTGTACCTCTAGGCAACATAACCTCTATGAGGGCCCAACAGTTGCAATAATACCAGCCGCAGCTAACGTTTATATAACACTTGCAGGAGCCCTAAACCCACTGCTGTTGTGGATTCCAACTCATAGCTACCCTATTGGACAGAGGAGAAATACTCTACTCCATAGGGTTTCCAAGGCTGTAAATCTTCATGGAAGCAGATTTCCACATCCTTCTCCCACAGAGCAGCTGGTGGGTTCGAACCATGACCTTTCAGTTAGCAACCAAGTGCTTAACCACTGCGCCACCAGGGCTCTCTGCAAGTGCCCTAGTTACCTATATTCAAGCATTTAACCTTCACCCCATCCCTATGATGTGGATATTCTCAACATCCCCATTTTACAGGTGAGGAAACATGGCCTCATCTAAAAAAGGACGAATTTGCCAGGGAAAAGGCACAGCAGGTAGTTTACAGTATGCTAAGGGTTTTTTTTCTCCTTTTAAAAAATGTTTAAAAGTTCTGTTTTCATTCCACAAGTGCTCGATACTCAAGCCCATTCCCCTTATAAAACCCGGAGCAGCACAGCTAAGAAAGGCCCCTCGGACTGCATTCCCGAGCTGGCTGCTTCTCCCTGTGCAGGTTCTTTTTTAAAAGTCGATACCAACACACCTACAGTGACCCGAAAGCCCCCGAGGGCACTGCAGGCTCCCGGGGGCCCGAAGGCTTGTGCACAGCCCAGTGCAGGCACCAGTGCAGAGGAAAGGGCTGGGCTGGGGGTGGCGTGTGGCTTCCCGGGGTGTGCAGATTCTCTCTCTCTCTCAAACCTCAGCTTCATGATTCAGCAGTGCTGACGTCAATTTACAAGAATGAAAAGTGAGAGGAGGGTTTGTGTGTGCGAGGGCTGGAGCGGGGGCCCAGGTGCGGCTGGGGAGTCCCCCCTCTACGAGCGGGGGAGCTGGGACAGTGCGGGGCGTGCAGAATAAGGAGAGGTCTGTGTGCCAGGTGCAGGGATAGCCTCTGACAGGCATCACAGTGACCCCTGAGCTGGGGACTCTGATCCCCACTTTACAGATGAGGAGATGGAAGCTCGGAGAAGTGCAGTCACTTGCTCAAGGTCACAGCTCAAAAGCGATGGCCAGGGCTCCCAGCAGGTCCATCCCACTCTATACGCCAGGCCAGGGTCCCTCAGAGTGGTCTGGGGGAGTCTTGTGAAAATGCATAATCCTAGGCCTCACACCTCCCTTGATTCTCCCAACCTTGTGGGTAGGTACTGTTATCCCACAGCCAGGGAGCAGAGAGCTGGAATTGGAACTCTGGCAACCTGGCTTCTTCTGTGAGGTAACACAGCTAAAATACCTGCAAAACCCTGGCCTGCAGCAGGTGCTCAGTATTCCACTGGGTTCATATACCAAACATGCACTGAGCACCTACTATGTTCCAGGCACTATTTAAGCCCCAGGGATACAGGAACGAACCAGATAGAGGGGATCCAGTCCCTGTTCTCCTGGAGTTCACATTCAAGGCCTCAGACAGTGACAGTTAAATAGGAAACTGAAGGAACACTAATGGTAGTGACTGAGCTCAATGAAAACACAATGGGGTGGTTGGACAGTGGGTGGGGCCATTTTGGCGGAAAAGGCTAGGAAGGCTCCCCTGAAGTGACACAGGCTGCTGTGCCTGGAGTGACAGGAAGGAGCCAGCCACGGGAAGAAGGGAGGCGGGCATGCCATGTAAAGGGAACAAGCACAAAGGCCCTCAGCTGGAAGCAAGTTCAGCCCATTCACCAGGGCTGTCGAGCTGAGCTGAGGAGTGAAGGCAGAGTGGCTGGAGGTGAGGTGGAAGGGTGGGCAGGGCCACAGCAGACCTGTAGGCCGTGGTGAGGAGTATGGATCTGAAGTGTGATCGGAGCCCTGGGTGTGTACATTGTGTTGTGATGAGATCCCTCTGGCTGCTGGGTGGAGATGGACTGAGGCAGGGAGGCCTGGTGAGGTGGGCTTTGGTTTTCCTGCCTTACTACATGTGCATTTGAAGATGGGGGCACGGAATGGTTCGTTCCAGCCAATCAGTCCAACGGCAAGGCAGGGACAGTCACAGGACCTGCCTGGTGGAATGCAGGGACCAGGTGTGGTCCAGGCCTGGAATGGCCAGCCCTGGTGCAGGCATTTATCAGAAACCCCAAGGATGATGAGACCAAAGCTTGGATCTGAACAGGGTCCTAGGGTGGGGCTCATAGGCCCCAGGGAGGGGCTTCTTGGGGGCAGTGTCACCTATACAGGGCAGAGGGAAGGTGAGGAAGGGCACACAGGATCTGGAAGGAGGTGGATGTGGCCAGTGACACCTCATGCCTGCTTTGCATCCTCCTCACCTGGGCCCCTCTCCCCACATCTGCCCTCCCACTGCCATCACTCAGGGACTCCCCGGGGCTGGGGCTTCCAGGGAATAACATGGTGGGCCTGGCCTGATTCTGGAAGTCTCAAGTTTCCTAAGAGAGGAGTGCATTTTTCACCAAAGCAAATTCCGGCGGGGCCAATGGTGTCCAAAATGGGTGTTCAGACTGCCCCTCCTTCTCTGGACATGTCCCTGGGACTTTAACAGAGAGCCACCAAGAAAACTGGGGTTTCAGGTTCTACAGGTGCCTGGTCCCCATCCCCCCATCCCCTGGGGTCGGGCATCGCCAATTCCCGGCCTTTCAATGACTCCCCACTTCTCTCAGGAGACGGCCCATCACCCAACGGGACTCACGAGGGCTTCAAGTGGTCCCTGCCCACCGATTTGGCCTCAGTACTCACCACGCTCCCTCCAGCCACCGTGACTTTGCGGGCGCTGTCCCCTCGCCTCATGCCTCCTGATTGGTGATTCCCAGCCGGCTGTGGGGTAATGTGCCAATTCCAGTGAAAACGCGGCAAGGGCCCTATGGAGGGGCCGTCGCCAGCGCCGGGGGGCCCCCCGTCCCGCCCTCGGGCGCCACGGGCCACGCGCTGATGACGTCATGGCCCCACCCTCCCCGGCAGCCCCGCTCGGCTCCCTGGTCCCTGTCACCCCCATGGGGTCGTAACACTGCCGAAGGCGTGCTGCACGTTGTCTACCCGCGGAGTCTCGGAACTCTCAAAAGTCGTGGAGGCCCAGAGAGGGCGTGTCCCAAGGGCATGCCAGTTCAAGGCCATCATAGCGGATCTTCCTCCACCTCAGTTCTCAGAGAGCAGAAAGCACACCCATCCCGTTCTAGTCCACCACACAGACCCCTGCCTGCCTCCCAACTCACAGCCCTTAGAGCCTGAGCCTCTTCCCCTGGAAATGGGGAACCAACCCCATGGGCGAAGATCACGTGGAAGAACGCACCTAAAATGCTTAACACGGGATCCACCCAAAAAGCAAAAAAGAAAACCCAAACCTGTTGATGTCCAGTCGATTCCAACTCATGGCAACCCCGTGTGTTACAGAATAGAACTGCTCTATGAGGTTTTCTTGGCTGTAATCTTTATGAAAGCAGATAGCCAGGCCTTTCTTCTGCAGTGCTGCTGGGTGGGTTCAAACTGCCAACCTTTCAGTTAGCCAAGAGCAAACCAGTTGTACTACACAGGGACCTTACCATGGGATAGATGTCCAATAATTGGCATTGCCCTCTCTGCTTCTTGATGACTGTGGCATTGCTGCTGTTTTAAATAATGGTATTTATTGAGCACCTAATGGGCACTAGCTACTTTGCCCAGGTTGCCTCGTGAGGAAACTAAGGCTCAGCAAGGTGAAGGAATTGATCCCATTGCATTCTGTAAATGGCAGAGCCAGAGTCGGACCCTGGGTACAACTGACCAAGCTCATGCTCTTACACACTGCAGTGCCAGCCTATGGTTCACACGTCTGCTTGTTTCCGACATCAAAGTCCGCCTGAAGGATGTTCAAAGCCACAGAACCAGCCAGGCCCTTTCCCGGCAGGACGGCCTGGGAAGCTGGGAGAGGCCCTGGGCTTATCTGAAAGGCTATGTTAGAAGTCAGCTTTGGAGAGCGCCCAGGGCTGCTTGGTCAGAAGGGACCCTGGAGAAGGGGCTCTGGGGCAGCCAGGAGCCCTGGTAGCTGGTGGGGGCTATGGATGCAAATGAGGATGGGCAGGGACAGGGAAGGTATGAGCCAGAAAGCTGCATCCTGGGCAAGAGCAGGGCTGGGAGGGTGACATTCAGGGGTGGCCCCACCTAGGGACATACAGGGGCCTGTGCCTTGAGACAGACTCCCTCCTCCCACACCTGGGTGCAGCCAGGAGGGGCTGCCAGAGGCAGGATGAAAGAGGCGAGGGGGCAAGACTGGGCAAATCAGCCTCAGAGGGCACTTTCCTACCGACATTTCACTCTGGGTGGCAG